GGCAGCTGTTGAGGCAGCGATTGAAGCAGCGATTGAGGCAGCGATTGAGGCAGCTGTTGAGGCAGCTGAGGCAGCGATTGAGGCAGTGGGTGAGGCAGCTGTTGAGGCAGCGATTGAGGCAGCTGTTGAGGCAGCGATTGAGGCAGCTGTTGAGGCAGCAGTTGAGGCAGCTTTTGAGGCAGCAGCTGAGGCAGCAATTGAGGCAGTGGGTGAGGCAGCTGTTGAGGAAGCAATTGAGACAGTGGTTGAGGCAGCTGTTGAGGCAGTGGGTGAGGCAGCTGTTGAGGAAGCGATTGAGGCAGTGGTTGAGGCAGCTGTTGAGGAAGCTATTGAGGCAGTGGTTGAGGCAGCTGTTGAGGAAGTGATTGAGGCAGTGGGTGAGGCAGTGGGTGAGGCAGCTGTTGAGGCAGCTTGTTGAGGAGCTGATTGAGGCAGCTGTTGAGGAGCTGTTGAGGCAGCGGTTGAGGCAGTGGGTTGAGCAGCTGTTGAGAAGCTATTGAGCAGTGGTTGAGGCGGTTTGGGAAGTGATGAGGCAGGGGTTGAGGTCATGGTGAGCAGCTGTTGAGGCAGCAGTTGCTGCACTGAGGAGGGCTGTTGAGGCAGCGGTTGAGGCAGTGTTAAAGGCAGCTGTTGAGGTAAGCGATTGAGGCAGCGTTGAGGCAGTGGTGAAATTTAATAACTACTGTTTCACTCCTATGAATAATACATGTGTATTAATAATATGTATATTATATTTATAACTAATGTTATTAAATACGACTGCCTCAACAGCTGAATTATTGTGAAATGTTTGGAAGAGGAGGGAGACTAATGTTCACTCCAGCATAAACAAAGCCACACTGACGATGTGTCAACCACTCCCTCGTATTTTTGTACAATTTCCTTCTTCAATTATATCGTATTATTATTATTATTATTATTATTGTATTTTATTATTTTATATGTTATTATTAGCAGTAGCAGAAATGTTTGATTCTTTGCTGTGTTCAAGAGTAAAACATTGATGTCACCGTCCAATACCTGTCCGAATAGCCATTCCAATATGCAGTCATGAATGGGTTTACATTATTTATACTGTAGTTTAATAATAGTAAATAATGAACAAACAAAACACTCACCACACTGAGTGGTGGGAGGGCTGGCTGCCAGTTGTGGGGGTCGGAGGGAGGGTAGTAGGGACTCGCAGTGGTTGAGGAAGTGGTGGAGGCATTGGTGGAGGCAGTGGTGGAGTCTGTGGTATTTAATAACATACATGTTATTAAACCATAACATGTATATATTTAGTACAATTTATTACGTTTTGATGTATTTTATGATTGTTCATGGTTCAACAAGTTAAGGAAGCAGTATTGTATTACATTTCCCTACAATATATTGGGGCACCAAACATTCACGGTTTTTCAACATTCACGAGGCTCTTGATCCCCTAACCCTCGCGAATGTTGAGGGAGACCTGTATTGCATAATAATAAATCTTCTATTTTTAGGTGTGAATAAAAAATCAAAATGGAATTCATTTGTCAAGCCCTGAAACGTAAATAATAAACAGAGGAAATGTTATTTTAGTGCCAGGAATGTCTGCACTGCTTATTCTGGACCCTATTTTGAAATTGAAATATTTTGAACTTGGGTGAGATTGGCCAAATTACCAATTTCCAATCACTTTATTGGGTAGTTGAAATAGTTGACTGGGCAATTTCTTGTGCTCAATCAATAAAATAGAAGTAATGTTAGTGAAATAGCTAAGAATTTGGTAGACTGGAAAAACGTAACTGACCTAAAATGGGAGTCAAAGTGGGCAAAGTCGCCGGTGTAAATATCGCTGACACAGTAAAATTTGCAAGAGCGTAATTTCATCAATTTTCCATTAAATTTTGTACTTTTTGTTTTATTACCTTCAGAAAAGATTCTCTACCATTTCATAAAAAAAAAAAAAAAAATTAAATTCTTGGACCCTGTGGACAAGTTTCAGATTGGGGGTCTGAACCCTGAAAGGGTTAAGGCTATGTACAATAAATATATTTATAACACAAGAAATGTTTCAGTATATTGCTTCTCAAAACATAGAAATAAGTCACACTGACTTTATTGGTTATCCTGGGTTAACCCTCTGACTGTTTCGGCCGTATGTACATGTCTTACGAGGCAGTATTTCAGACGTATATATACTCAATAATTCTAGCGGCTTCAAATCAAACAGGAGAAAACTGGTAGGCCCATATGTGAGAGAATGGGTCTGTGTGGTCAATGTGCACTGTATAAAAAAAAAATCCTGCAGCATGCAATGCATGAGAAAAAAACTCTGACCGTGTTTTTGGATTAAAACACCAAATTTTGAGGTGTATTTTCGTATAGCATTTATGGTTGTATTCTCGTTTTCTTGGTCTCAATTGATAGAATGGAAAACATATTACAGAAACAGAGATGATTTTGATTAGTTTCATGATGAAAACGACCTTGAAATTGAGCTCAAAGTAGCGGAAATGTTCGATTTTTATCAATGTTCATGAGGAAGCAAATGACACCACACGTCCAATACACGTCAACTGGGGAGTCTAATATTCTTTCACTAGTGCACTGATATTATTTATACCATTTTACAACAATGCAGTAGTCTGCATAACAGTAAATGTTCTATTTTTTGCGTGAATAACAAATCAAAATAGAAAGCAAGAGTAATATAAGAGGGGCCTGGAGACATGACCAATGAACAGAGGATATGTTATTTTAGTGCCAGGAATATCTGCATTGTTTATTCTGGACCCTATTTTGAAATTGGCATCTTTTTTAATGTGTGAAATTTGCCAAATTGCCAATTTCTGACCGCTTTATTGGGAAGCTGAAATCGGTAAATGGGCGGTTTCTTGTACTCAGTTGATAGAAAAAAATGGAGGTCTAAAGAAATAGCCGAGTTTAGTCAACTGGAACAATGGAATTGGCTGAAAACAGGGCTCAAAGTCGGCGAAATTGCCGATGCATATATATCGCCGAGATCACTAACTTCACGGGAGCATAATTCCATGAGTTTTCAATCAAATTTCATACTTTTGGTGTCATTACCATTGGGAAAAGATTCTCTATCATTTCATAAGAAATTTTTTTTCCCCAAAATTTTGCGACATAGAAAGAGTTTCAAAAATGGGCTTGCGACAGTCAAAGGGTTAAATATATTTAGTGTGCTTTGTGGCTAAATTCCACTGTTAGTAATCATGAAATTGTAATAAATTGGGAATGACTTAAAAAATCTTTGCTCCACTTACATACCCTTTTTGCTGGTATGGAAACTGGAGGAACAACAGCTTCTAATTTCATTGTTTACTGTTGCTAGTGATGTGTACTAGTGTGCTGGACATAGTCATCACTTGAATAATTAAACATGATACACTGTATGGACCCTTCTGGCCTTAGATTTTTTTTCAAATGTATGAATAGATGGAAGATCACCCAAAGTTGTGCTGAAGTCAAAAATCTTGGCAGGTGGCAGATTTGTGGGTATGAAAAATTGCGAGTACTAGTCCATCGGACACAGACAGCATTGCATACTATTATGTCAGACACAATATAAGGTTTAAAATGCACCAGCATTTAGAGTTTGAAGCCAATCAGAAGAGGCTTTCTCTAGTTATTAAATGGGAAACAATTTACTTAATAAAAATGGCAAACTGAAATTTACACTTCTCAAATTGAGTAACAAGCTTAGCTTTAATAAAGTCCACCAATGGTAAAAGTTCGAAGCTGATCAGAGAAGGCATTCTCATGTAATTGACTTAATTAAGCAATTCCACATTTTTTTATATTTCAGCAAAATTTCCAATGTGCACCTACTCGCACTATGCTTACTGGGTATCATCCTTATTATAAAATGCAGCCTCGTTAATAGTTTGAAGCCAGTTAGAAGCAGCATTCTTTAGTTATTGCATAAAAATGAATATCATTATTCAATAAAATTGGCCAATTAGGACTTGTGGCAGCCAATAGCAGCATGACCCTATATCAGTTATTCACAAAAAGCTCATCTTACTTGTGCTTAGTTTCAAGAGTTCATCTCCTGAAGCCCAACCTGAGGCCAAACTTCACTGTTGTCAGCTTGGTCAACCAGACCGTCGCTGCCAGTGCCCTGTAGGCCTACACAGCCACAATCTGCGAGTCCTACTACAGACAAATACCTTGGAAAGAGTTAGACAATCAACAGCCTTGTACCAAGATGTTTGCATGGTTCTATTCATGGGGATGTCCTTAACCCATGAGAATGGGTAATGGGAAGTCACCAAGTTTAATGTGAGGAGCAAGAGTGTAGCATCAATTCCTTGGATCAAGAGCCCTTCACCAGCACAAAGGAATTCCTGTTAAAGGGACGAGTTTTGTGTTGATTTTAACTACAAAAACTGCTGTCCAGAGGGCTGAGGAAGGGTTGTTGAGGTGGTTCGGACATGTAGAGAGAATGGACCGAAACAGAGTGACTTCAAGAGTGTATCAGTCTGTAGTGGAAGGAAGGTGGGGTAGGGGTCGGCCTAGGAAAGGTTGGAGGGAGGGGGTAAAGGAGGTTTTGTGTGCGAGGGGCTTGGACTTCCAGCAGGCATGTGTGAGCGTGTTTGATAGGAGTGAATGGAGACAAATGGTTTTTAATACTTGACGTGCTGTTGGAGTGTGAGCAAAGTAACATTTATGAAGGGGTTCAGGGAAACCAGCAGGCCGGACTTGAGTCCTGGAGATGGGAAGTACAGTGCCTACACTCTGAAGGAGGGGTGTTAATGTTGCAGTTTAAAAGCTGTAGTGTAAAGCACCCTTCTGGCAAGACAGTGATGGAGTGAATGATGGTGAAAGTTTTTCTTTTTCGGGCCACCCTGCCTTGGTGGGAATCGGCCAGTGTGATAATAAAAAAAAAAAAATTAACTACAATGCATAACTTAATGATGAATTCATTTCCAGTTTGTGGAACACTTGTCATGGTGAGGTCCAATCTCAATGTCATAATTCAAATGGATAATGGAACCATCCAAAACTTTTTTTTACATGTATTTATAAACAACTGCCATACAGAGAAAAATCCATCTCCAATGTTTCAGGCTTAATTTTAACCACAAAATTTTTTTAGAAATTAACAAGCAATATAAAAATACGTTATATATCTCTGGAGCTCAAACTTACTTTAAGGCCCAATTAACAAGTACAAAAATTATTTATGCAATGTTTCCTTAAATGTGGAATCATATGATAAAAAAAAAAATGAGGACAAGAGCAAACATGCAAGTTGCAATTTACTGCATATTATTTTAAAGCATCAGATTACCGGAAGTGGCACCACAAGAGATTGCTTTGAATTTCAAAGGCTCAACTAATGGAAGGCCAGAGGTCTCAACTAATTCCCACTTCAATTACTTTGTCTTTGAACTCAATGGACAGAGTTTAAGTCATCCTTATCCATCAATGATGGGTGCATTCCAAACAGCTGTTCAACTCACAACAATATGCTGTGTCTCCTTACCTATACGTATACCTTTGAGGGCTTGTAAAATATTAATTTACTACCGAGAAACTGTCTAAAGAAGAAATGAGATGACACGCAAGTATCACACTCTGAGTATGAGATGCATATTGAAGACCAAACAACTCGAGTAAGATTGTCTTTTTTATATTCAAAATAGAAGCATCTGCTACAAAGCAAAGTTTGAAACTGGGCAACACAGCTAGCAGGCACTTCAGCACTCAAGTATACTGTCATGTCTAAATCACTGTACACATGACAGAACTGGATATGCACTTGGCAGACTTTAGATGGCCGTAAGTCCTACATCCTCCTAAAACCAGGACTAACAGAGAATAAATTCCACCAAGCCTTTCAGTTTAGCATGCAATCATTATACAATATGGCTGCATACATGACAGTAAATATTCATGCAAAATTAAAATGTAATCATTATTACTCAATGTTCAAGTTAGTATTTTCATCTGTACATTTTGTATAGAACTGGACTTTGTTAACATTTTCACATTCATCTCATGAAACCTTATCAACATTAATGATCACAGTTTTCAGTAGCTAACAACAATGAAATACTTTGCATTTCATCATTCTAAAGTGAGCAAAATCCATACACCATTGTAAGTAATGCATTCATGGACGATGAAAAGTTGATTACAGTTCTCTTCAATAAAGAGAACATTTTTCGAATTCATATATTATGAGGTATAAAGCAGTAATTACAGTACAATTTCTATATATACACCCCAAACCCCTCCTTTAGAGTGCAGGCACTGTTTCCCATCTCCAGGACAAGCCCAGCTAATGGGTTTTTCCTGAATCCCTTCACAAAATGTTACCTTGCTCACACTCAAGCAACTCATCAAGTCCCAAAAGCCATTTGCCTCCACTCCTACCTAATATGCTGACATGCTTGTTGTATTTCCAAGTCTCCTGCATACAAAACTTCCTTTATCCCTTCCCCCCTCCATCCTTTCCTAGGACAACCACTACCTCACCTTCCCTCCACTAGAGATTTATACACCCTTCAGGTCATCCTATTTTGCTCCATCCCCAAATCTCCTCTACAACCCTTCCTCAGCCCTCTGGATAATACCTTTAGTTACTCTTCATGTTAGATAGAAGGAGTGGAGACGAATGGTTTTTGGGACTTGATGAGCTGCTGGAGTGCAAGCAAGGTAATATTTTATGAAGGGATTCATGTTAGCTGGACTAGAGTCCTGGAGGTGGGGAGTACAGTGCCTGCACTCTAAAAGGGTCTGGGATACTTACTGTTTAGAGGGACATCTAAACTGTCATATCTGCATGCCTCTGGCAAGACAGTGAGTGTAAATGATCATTAAATTGTTTCTTTTTCAGGTCACCCTGCCACTGTGGGAGACAGCCAGTGTGTAAAAAAAAAAAAAATAAAACACAACATTCACTGGTACTGCAATGTCCATTTCCAACTGATAATTATTTGGGATAAAAGATAGTTCATTTTGTTGTATATACTGTGGTGATGTTTCCTTACCAACAACTTTCATTTTACAAGATTTATATAAAAGTCTTTTTAACACTGCACATTAAGAGAAGAGAATTTTATACAGTATAAATATTTATATATTTTTTCTCTCTTTTTCTTTTTTACAAATTATAAATATAACATTTTCTATAGACAAAACAAAACATATTTCACAACATTCAGTACCTGGCTTAAATCACTATTCACAAGTTCTTTTGGAGGATATATTTTTTATGCTTGTGAAAATAGAAAGACTGACTTATACACGAGGAAGCAGCCTTTTCTGCTATCTTAAGTCATGGAAGTCCTTTACGTGTATGAGAAGAACAAATTTTTAAGTGCTACATTAACTGATTCCTGCACTTTTCTGAGTGCTATAGGAACTGATCCCTGCACTTTTCCATGTACTGGAGTAACTAATCACTGCACTTTTTTGAGTACTAGAGGAACTAATTGCTGCACTTTTCTGTGTGCTAGATCATATAACTGATCACTGCACTTAGTAAAGCAACAAAATTATTGATTGCTTCACTTTCAAGTATTTTCAACACTGAACACCAATTCCTTGGAGTACTTCTTGCTCGTGAGGATTAAGGTGTGGAACAAAGACGGGGAATGCTGGATGCTGAGCAAAAGTACTAATGAAGGTGGTCAGGTACTGCTGAAGATCCAGACTATACAAGGGGTCACTTACCTGCAATAAAGTTTGAGCATTAAAATGTCTAACTTTTAAGTTTCCATTTATACACAGCTTATTATTAATCCAATTTATACACAGCTTATTATTAATCCAATTTATACACAGCTTATTATTAATCCAATCTGCTTAAGTTCTTTCCTGTTTTTAAAATTTTGAAAAATTGAAATAGTGCATATACTTAAATCAATTCTAAAACATCATGCTATAAAACCAATGAACAGTATGCACAAGATAACTTGACTATTACAAGACAAATGACTGTCACATGTTCATAAAAATCATTGTAGAAATAATGAACAGAAAAATTTAAAAATGAAATGGAAAAAATTGTATAAAAGCTAAATATTTATTATTAATTGTAATTTAGTATGAAATGTTATTTCTTTAAATAAATATAATTAAAACATCAACATACAGTTATCCAACACTAAAATTCAAAAAATACAGACAATCACAACAACACAATCTGTTGGGCTGTGGTTCATATGTCAGTTTATGTGCAGCCAGCAGTAAGTCACGGTATTGTGCCTTTTTTGTTATTTATTTGTGTAACAGGCTAGTTGATTGGGCCCTGATCCACCCCAATGCCTGGTCATGGACCGAGCCTCGGGAACGCTGACCCCCAGAACACCCTTTGTACAGACTCCATATAATATTTTCATAGGAAACTGATGAAAGCAAATTACTGTAGTACTGTAATATCTCTTTCCAAACTATTCATAGATATGTAACACTTGTCACATCAATCCCCAACTCACTATCTATACCTTCTCCAAAACCATAAATACAACAGAAAGTTGCAGATTTTAAAGTGCAGCACTTGTATAACCTAAGATAACCAAACAAGTCAAATACATACCATGATGTATTTCTCATCAGAAGAAACAATCTCCAATTATTTCACGGAAACCAATTTGATTATAAAAATAACACATTACAAGTAACCCAAGCTAACATCAAGAAAATTTTTCCTGTGTTGAAAACACAGCAGTGCAGAATCCAAAAAAAATCTGTACCTACTCAGCCGAAACCCATGAAACATTTCTTCCACTCTATTCATAAGCCACAGAAGACTGATGCAGTTCACAGTTTATATTTTAATCATAGAAAAACCATTAAACCTGTAGGGGTTATATAGCACCTAAGGAATGGAAACAATTTAAATTTGGTTCAAGCAAGGGAAAGATAAGCCCAGTTCCTCAAATAAAGAGCCTTACACCACCATTAAGGTAAAATAATGCAATAATGAAAAATACAATACCACTAAGATTAAGGTGGAAAAATAGCACCTACATACTTTAAATATACCACCCTATATCTAATCAAGTTGAATGTTTGAAGCCAATCAGAGGAGCCTTTCTCAAGTACAGTAGGGCCCCGCCTTACGGTGTTTCGCCTCATGGCATTCCACTAATATGGTAATTTCAAATTATGATCAAAACTCATTATACAGCAACCCGTCTTTCTTATATGGTGCGTCCCACCCAGTTTGTTTACATTTTCGCGTGAGCACATCTATTATATCTGGAAACTTTCCAAAATTTCGAGTGTTTTAAAGTAATTGCATATTTCATATGTACTCTGATAATTATACTTATGTGCACCTAAATATACTTACACACTGTGCTGGCGTGCAGGTACACATTAAAATCACTAAGTCTCTCTCACTCAGGGTCAAAATTTTTTAAAGATGATTGATGTTGATGATGATTAATGATGATAATAATTAATGATGATGACAACGACGACTATTATTAATGAATTTTTTGCAATAATGCAGACTACTACATTTTTGCAAAAATGGTATAAATAATACCAGCGCATTTATGAAAGAATATTAGACTCACCAGTTGACATGTAATGGACGCATGCCATGATTTGTTTAAGTCCTTATCATCGGTAAAAATCGTACATTCCCGCTACTTTGAGCTCAATTTCGAAGTACTTTTCATCATGAAACCAATCAAAATCATCTCCATTTCTGTAATATATCTTACATTCTATCAAATGAGACCAAGAAAACGAGAATACAACCATAAATACCATATGAAAATACAATGCAAAGTCGCTGTTTTGAACCAAAAACACGGTCGGAGTATTTTTTCTCATTATGCACTGCATGCTGCATGATTATTTTTATACTGCGCACACTGACCATGCAGACCCATTCTTTCATATGTAAGCCTACCAGCTTTCTTCCACCAGATTTGAAGGCGCTAAAATTTTGGCGTATAAGAACATGACCAACCCTGGCTGATAAGACATACATGAACGTGACTGATCCTTAAAGAGATAAATGTTGTATATTATGTTATAGACATTTCCATTAATCCATCTATAATTTTTTTTTTCAAAATTATATAATAAACATGCTACGTAACACACAAACATGATAAATACACCCCACAGTAGAATAAATTAACAAATATGAGATGTGGTAGACAGGTGACATGTAGGAGGGATGGCAAGAATAATGCTTTCTCTAGTCCAACATCAGAGAAGATGTGTACACTACAATTAGAAAATTATTACTTTCGTATGCCTTCACTCAGAGCGTCATTTCTTCTAAAAATGGTGTTACATGAGAAATGGGAGTGTTCCTCTTTATTTATGTCTACTGTATCAATGTGGAGGCAACTTGTACACAATGTAAAGTGTTTGTATTATGGTATAAGATTCACAGACATGAGAATGAATGTGTATCAACCAAAAGCAGACGCGTCTGTTTGTTTACATTACATGTGGGTGGGGTGGTGTCGGCTGGGGTGGGCTGCCCTGGCTGACTACTATACGTGTACTTCCCACACCTTTACCTTCTACAAATAAATATGGCTCACCTCTCACCCTACATAAAGACTACAAATATTTTAAGGTAATTAATGAATGTACTGTATATTTACTGTATCGCTCTACGGTGCTTTAATGTTGTATATTATGTGTAGGTGGAGTGGGGTGGGGTTAGGGTGGGTTGCCCTGGCTGGCTACCATACTTCCCACACCTGACTTCCTACAAATAAATACAACTCACCTCTCGCCCTACATAAAGACTACAAATATTTTAAGGTAAGCAATGAGTGTACTGTGTGTATTTTACCTTTAATTGTTTTCTTTAATGTCTAGTTCTATTACAAACTTAATATAAGTTAGTGTAAGCTTGTTGTCTGGCATTTGCAAGTGAAAAAAAAAAAAAGTGTTCCACTTTAAGGCGATTTCCTGCCGTATAAGTGGGGCCCTACTGTATATCACATGGAAACAAAATCTGGGAATGGTCTAAGTAATATTGTACAAAGGATGGCAGGAAATGGTATTAAATACAGACATGTGAAGAGAAGAAAAAATGTAGTACAGTGGAACCTCAATTTACAAGTTTAATCCGTTCCTATACCTAGCTCGTACGTATATCAAATCAATTTTCATTCAAATTAATTGAAATACCATTAATCCGTTCCAGCAGAATTCCTGCTCTCAGAAGGCAGGACAAAATACAGTGGTACTTCAGGATATGAACTTATTTCATTCCAGAAGGCTGTTCAAGTGCTGATACTGAACGAATTTGTTCCCATAAGGAATAATGTAAATTAGACTAATCCGTTTCAGACCCCCAAAAATACACTTACAAAAGCACTTACATAAATACACTTACATAACTGTTCGCGTTTTGAGCTGTTCGTATCCCAAGGTACCACTGTATATATAATGCTAATATCAACTCTACTGCTTATTTATCTATCACAATTGATCTAATATGACATCATAAACAATATAAATAACATAGAAACGTGATATATACTCTAGAATGAATAAAATGAGTCATTGTGTGACTAGTGGTGGCGGCCATTCCTGCTCCCGCTCAGACCATATCTTCCCATGCTCTTATTATAAGAGAAAACTGTGTTTGTGAAACTAACTACACTAGATCACTAGTTTCATAAGGAAAACACAAACAATTTATTTATAAATAAGAAATATTGTATAAAAGCATAATAAAACATAACAGAGAATGTAAAGAAATAAACTGGTTTTATAAAGTGTATGTACGTAAAGTGTATGTGGAGGATGGAAAAGATAGGCTACTTTGCTACACTCTTAATGCTTAATGCGAGGCAGTACCAGCCAGTATAAGTATGTACTACGCTTGTACTGCCTTGCAAAGTCCACAACACAACCCGCACACCTCGCTTGTGTTTATCTATGATTTCATGCTTTAACCCTTTGACTGTTTTGGTCATACATATACATCTTACGAGCCAGTGTTTCGGACGTATATATACAGTGGTCCCTCGCTTTTCGTAGTTCTCGGCAATCATAGATTTCGGAAAACATAGGGGTATTTTCGGATAAACATGGGCTCGCTTTTCATAGGTTGACTCGCGAGTCGTAGTTCGTCCGGGACGCATACCCACGGTGTGAGCTGGGGCGGCAGCTAGTCTGGCATTGTTTACCAGTGAGCGAAGGTCCCCTCACGTGCTCCAGCGAAATATTTCATAATATTCCATTTATTTTAGTGCTTGCAAGTACTAAATAAGCTACCATGGCTTCAAAGAAAGCTCCTAGTGCCAAGCCTGTGGCAAAGAAGATGAGAAATATGATTGAGTTTAAGAAAATCATCATTGAACAATATGAAAGTGGTACAAGTGCGGCTGAACTGGCCAGGATGTATAAGAAACCCTACACAACCATATGTTCCATAGTGGCCAAGAAAAAGCAAATCAAGGACACTGTTGTTGCAAAGGGGGTAACTATGCTGACAAAAATGAGATCACCAGTACTGGAAGAGGTTGAGAAGTTATTATTGGTGTGGATAAATGAGAAACAATTAGCAGGAGATACTCTTATGACTTCGATTATTTGTGAAAAGGCTAGGCAGTTGCACAACGATCTGGTAAAGAAATTGCCTGAAAATAGTGGTGATGTGAGTGAATTTAAGGCCAGCAAAGGTTGGTTTGAGAGATTTAAGAACTGTACTGGCATACACAGTGTGGTAAGGCATGGTG